AAAGAAAGGCTTGAAATACCAAAACTCGTTAAAATCGAATACCATGGAAAGCTAATATAAATTGGTTTTGCAAGATAGCAAACTTATTATTTATTTATTTAAGATCAATGTGGCGTTTATGTATGATGATCTCTGAAATTGAAATCGTTAATTATTCGCTATTTGCGAAATTGAAAACAGTTTATACAACGTACAAACGTATAAATTATATTTTATAGTCCTTTTTGCACAGACGTCGGCAAACATTTTCTCATCCATCATTCGAATATTCCGCTTTTCTGATTTGTCAGACTTCATCGGACACGGAAACTTTGATGTTGTGAAACCAACCATTCCACGTGACTTATTCGACAGAACGAGTACTTACCTATATATCTTGTGAGTGTGTTTGCGTTTGTATGGCTGTAAGTGAAGATAACTCTTGACTTTCTACTAGTTCCTATTATAGTGACGGTATCTAGGAAGTCTCGTACAATGTTCGCAGTTAAACTTGGTTGTTAAAATATGCGCTAGCGCAAGGCAAATATAACCGATTAAACAAACGTATATGTAAAATATACGTGTGACTCTGCGTCTCTACCATAGAACCATATTTTAATTATCATGTCTCAAAGACATTAATTATTTAGTTTATTGGTATGGCGATCACAATGTAGAAAATATATTATCTTATACGAATGAAAGTATATGAGTTCATGTGCTAATGAAATAATGTCAAAACGATCGTTATGTGGGTCGTCATAACACTATCTCTTAGATAAATATTACGGTTCTATGTATAATATACTATTTGAGCATGAGTATGTACGGATAACATGACAAAGGGTATTAGAAAATAAACGGCACACTATACTGCTATAAGTTACACAACTCGAATAACATTTTAATTTGTAGAAAGCTATTATATTGGAGTTTCGACACGGATTTTTTTTTTTTGTTCGGCGATGTTTTAATCATAATATATTTCAGAGCACTATTTTTTATAAAACATTTTACGAAACTTGGATTTAGAGACGTTCTATCTTTGATCATCTCATCTCGATTTAATGACTGTAGATATGTACTTTCAATTTGAAAGCGTAAATCATTGAATTGGAAAAACTATTCGAAGTTGACAGTTTGACTAGGTTTTTGTACCACATTAGTAATTATTTATAATATTACTATAATGAATGTAATACTACGTGTTTGAGCATTACGTACATATTTACAAAATATTTCACATATAGTTTGGGATTTCAATACAGTGATTGATCTATCATTAACATTATTTGTACTCACAGTACATTTCAGGCATGATAATTTCACATTAGTTTCCAATTAAATTAAAAATATATACTAAATATACTAAATAGCTCAACATTTATTTATTTCGCGCATGAATTAAAATAATGCAAACGTTCAACGTTGTTATATTTTAACATACCATTCTAATTATTTCAAAACTTCTATGGAAATAATATTTTGTTAATATTAAATTGTACGTTATAATATTATAACAATAATGTTGAAAGTATTAATTTCTAAACGAGTCGCCGAAAAAGTTCATTTTATGTTGTACGTATAAAACTAATACTTTGTGTAAAACGTTGAACAAAATAACTTTTTAGCTGCATAATACAATATATATATTTATATTTTATATACTCAATCCTCAAAGTTTGTTCAGTATGAAATCATGAAGTAAATATAGAATTCGATTTTTTGAGAAAAAATTACATGAAACAAAATAAATTCCATCGCCCGTTTCGTACCCTGGACCTATAGACTCGCCAAAAGAAAGAGCCGAGAGAGGAAAACTATTCTAAAAATAAAAAGTATTCCAAATCCTTCCGGCTAACCACAAAGCATTCTGAGAGAATAAACCAGATTGTGATATATTAAAACTCGATAAAGAATTTCAACATAGTGTATTCAATAATAGTATATTACTTTGGCATTGTTGTAAAGTATAATGCGAATATAATATAAAATTTTTCAGTACAAAAATTATCAAGAAAATAAAATTCTTTGTCCACAAATTTATCTCTTTAATCAATATAATGTGTTTTACGTAATATTACACTGAACAATGTGGTACTTCTACTTTTTCAAACATCATATTATTATTTTAGGATTTGCAAAGACTGAAGTATTAATAACAATTGTCACTGAAATAGTAAAATGTCCTCATCGCTGATCATTTTAAGAAATGATTAAAAACAATTTTAAATATAGATTTGAGAAAAAGTTATAAGATTCATAATAATAATATCGTTTGTTGATATTACATTGTTTAGTTATTTTCGTCACACAATATAATAATAAGTAGTAGACTTGTATATCTATAATATAATATATCATGGTATCTATATTAGTATGATTACGACATTATAATATATTAAGATTTTGCCCAGAGACTGACATTTTAAATGAGAGCTATGATCCATAAAAAAAAGTACCTTTACTGCATCTGCTGACATTATGAAATATATCCTATACCTACCTACCTAGCAGGGATTTCCATATGCTGAGGCTCACTGTTTATTATTCCTGTAATCCAATAAGACGCAAAACACTTTTACAGGTGTAAAGTACGTCTCATTCGTCGCTACGCTCAGAATCTTAAGTATAAAATATTATCAAATCATATTATTGTTTTTTATACAATAATTTATAAAATATCTAGTTTCACTTGATATGGCGATATCTAATCTAAAATAATGATCGTGGCAATTTAGCAATAATTATTATAATATTATGCCAATGTGTATTTGACGAACACTCGTAGACAATCAACACATAATAATATATGTATTGGTTTTTTGCCATACGTCATTACACATTTCTCAGTCTATGATAATATTATGCACTATAATTTAGTATATCATATAAATTTCTATAGCTATTGCAGGCGGAGAGGGGTCGTTACACTATGAATAATTCAATGGGAAAACATTTGAGGTTGACAAAGATTCCTCTCGGTGTAAAATTAAAAATCATTTTATAATAATAGGGTGCACTGAGTACTCGCATCTGCACTAGAACCTTTGTGCAGTGGATGAATGCCGTGACGTGGTGAATTAATTAATTCAAATGCTACGATCGTCCTATCGAAACAATTTTACCCACAAAAATAATATTATGCTATTGCGTTTATTCTGTTCCGTCACCAACAAGGTATGTTAAGAATGCAAGTCACTATATAAATATATATAAGGTCACATAATATATCATGCAGCTTATTATGGGTAATGATTTTTTTACGTATTTTAAATGGTCTACCCAAGAGAAATATTTGATCGCATAAATATCTTAACATATCTTCTAAATTAATGCGACTTTGAATTTCACACATTCCGACATTCCAGTTACGAGGTTTAAGTCTATTCAGGAATTATTCAGGAACATACACGCAATGTTAATCTAATAATTAATATTTTCACTTACTTGATTGAATTAAATCCACAATATAATACTATGAATTCTTCAACTATAATACTTGGAAATCATGATCACCGTTAAATATATAGGCAGGTTGTACTAGGTACCTTATAACAAAGTCAAAAATGTTAACTGTAATTGCATACAAATTAGATAATCCTTAAAAAATTTGTATAGTGCATAATTTTATTATTTTACTATGTACACATATTAATTTAAACAAATCATTTGTGTTCAAACAATCTAAACAAATTGTCCGTATTAATATAATCATTGTAAAGACTTCTGGGAGCTTCAAATATCAATAAACACATAATAATTTACAAACAACGGTAACTGACAAGGAGCCTATAAATATATTATCCAATTGAAAAATTCAACATAAAAAAGATAAGTACAATAGTAAGATAAGTTCTGTATCTACTCCTATTTTACTTCATATAAGTACATATTTTTACTAATGTACAATAAATAAAATTAAAATAATTATTTAGTTATTATTTTCTTAAAGATATAAACACAAGTTATTATACAATTTGTGACTACTATAAATGTAACATAGTTAATTTAAGTTGTACTGTAACTTGTAACCAGTTTCAAATTTCCAAAGCTGCTTGTAACTAGATATACAACTTAAATTTAACTTGTATTACAACTAATCGAGCGATTTCCCCGTCTCTGATCACTGGTTACTACTTGATGTTTTAAGGAATGTTGAATATTTTAGATTCTGTTAAGCTCTGATTGTTTAAATCCAGCATAAGTTGGTAAAGTTTCTATTAACATTCATTGTTATTAGTTACTAAATAAATAAAATATTATGTATTTTATAGTTATTTCATAAAAAAAACCCCAACACCAATACTATTCATTTTAAGCTGGAATATACCGGAATATACAAATATTAGTGAATTGTTTTCCAACCTATTTGACAGATTATATTGAGTAGCGATATTTTTATAACAGTAAGCATAATATTATTAAAATAATATTGAATTAAAAATAAAATATTAAATAAAATAATCATACTAAATAGAATATAATATTACATTGCAAGAGTACCTACAAACTAGAATTTTTGTTATTGATTGACTGGCGGAAGAAAGATTTAATAGGGGCTCGCTATATAAAGAAAGTTGGGAAACAGTGCATTAGTAGCCATAATATATCAGACGCACTTTGAAGGGAGAATTAATTAACCATTCATTAATTTAATTAAATGTCATGCGCCTACTAATAATATTATATTGTATATTATTTTAATTGTATTAATCGTTTCGTTTGAACTAAGTTTCTAGAACCTTATTTGATTTCCAAAGTCGGACGAATCTCACCCAAATCGAAAAAGCTACATTGACATTTGACATACGTAGACGATTTATTTTTTTTTTTGACGGTCGACGTAGACAGTACCATAGTCCATAAGTCATAACACACCTAAATAATAATGGAAATTGATTTATTGATTTGAATTTGTTTTTTCCAAGTAGGCTTCAGATTTGAGTTCATTAACATAAATTCAACACTACATACTGTAGACTGATTAAATTTTAAATTTTTTTTCGTTCTGTCCACAGAAACGTTGCGGAAGTACCCGCTGGCGGCCGTTGTGCGCCGCGTGGCCACCAAACCGTACGTTGTGCCCGGCACCGGTGGCCGTGGCACCATCGAACCGGACACACTGATCGTGGTGCCGGTGCACGAGCTGCACCATGACGCCGAACACTTTCCCGAACCGGAAAAGTTCCTGCCACACCGATTTCCCGGACAACTGTCGTCCGCGTACATGCCACACGGCAGCGGACCGCAGTCCTACATTGGTAAGTACTCGAAATAATTACACTGTACAACCTTTTTATGGTTTGTTATTTGAAACACGGTAATAATATAGTAGGTAGGTATATGATAATGATATGATAATGATATGAAGTAGGTCCGTCGATGTCGCCATTTCCCTTCGAACTTTCAGAAGTGCCTCGACGGCCCGAAAAAAAAAAATTTGTAAAATTATCACCTCAAAAAACGCTGCTGCAGTGCCTTGTCATTTTTATACAAACATATTATTATGTTGTATTTACCTACGACTTATTATAGTGGATCGTATGCACCTAATGTTTAAAAATGTTTTCAAATATTATATTTCAAATAGGTATTATTCAAATACTATTGAATAAATAATATTATTAAATATCAATACACATTTAAAAAATATATTTTAAACACTTGTCCAAAAGAATTATAATATATAAACATATTATTATGACCGGACTCTCGTGCTGTCAGGTTTTTATTATGTATACTAGGTGATATCTTTATTATACGATGGTTAAAAGACGTACTTCGATTTGAGTGGAGACGAAATAATAAGTCCACAGACTTTTGAGTTTAGCATAAAGTATATGTACGTGGGTGATTTTTTAATACTTATTTATATTTTTTAACGTAGAATTTAATAAAAAAAAAAAGGTTTTAAATTTTAACAAATATAAATTTGATTGTTCGGTTCTAAATATTCTAGTTATACGCCCACGGATTAAGGGAGGGAATATTATAGTTCTCTGGTTTCAGACACGCTCCCTCCACTATAAATTATTATAATGCTCGTACGGTGTAATATGCTTACGTTTTATTTTCGTCACACAACCTCACATCCACCATGTCCTCGTACTCATCCCTAATAATCATTCTGCTGTAGTAGGATACGACGTCTACGATCCCATCGGATTTGTATACATATTATAATATCATGTCAAAGTCAAAGCCCGATCGCTTTGTACGCACATGCACACACACACACACACACACACACACACACATATATAATGTCATAAAAGCTAGGTCTTACTGCTAGGATTTACTAATCACGATCGGCGAAACACGCCAGCTTTTTCCGTCCTGTTTCTAAAAGCTATTTGTATACGGCTTGCGTATGATGTACAAAATAATATAATATATATATGTTAGTTGAAGCCGAATGAATCGATTATGCCCGCGAAAAAGCGACTCTGCAAATTAGGTATACTATAATATAACGATCGAGATACTTCAAGTTTATAGCCTGTTGGTCACGAGTGTGCTTCAGTATAAATTGTTTGCTTCTGTTGTCCGGTGGTCAACGATTTTTCGGAAGCGTTAAGAACAAAACGAAAAGTACAACAGAAATAGGTAAGAAAATATTATGTCTCCGTACCACGTGATCAAATAAAATAATATAACAGTGTAATCTAAACTAACACTATAGATAGGTACATCGTCCACTATATTCACCAATAATTGGTATACTTGGAACCAATATTATTTTATAATATTTTGTAAGTTTATATTTCTGATATTATACAAGTCCAAATTAATATTATATGTTCCTCAAAATAGATATCTATATATGCTTGCTCTGTTTGTATTCGCGTTACAACGACTTTTTCGTGGGCTCGAGAACCTTTAGTTATTTTTAACAATTTGATACGCATATATTTTAAGCAAAAAAGTTTTACTTTTATGTTTCAACTCAATCGTTTAATTCAATCAACTGGTATGGCTACTATAACTAACCTATTTTGTGCATGTCCTACAAGTTCAATTAAATATCATAGCGTTGTGAGTACAGTAAGACTGAAGTTGGAGTAATTCATAATAATTATCAATATTGCATACAATTTACAAGAATTTTAACCATTATAGTCCTATAGATTTAAGAAATATATTTTGTCTGCTATAATTTTTTTGACCGAACAGAAAAATATTACTAAATGTACACACTTCATGACTGAAGACGTCTGTTAAATAGCACGATAGCTCTGTTTTTGCAAATTTAACGAGAGTCGCAAATTTTTAATTAAAAATCTACTTAGATAGAAAGTTTATTTTCAAGTTTGAAAATTGTTGTTCACGTAGATACTTTCAAGTTTATACGAGTATAATATTAAATCTTAAAAATAAATTTTAATTCGTACTTTTTTTGTGTATTTAAATATTTTATACTGAAACTATCTGTTTTTTTCCCGAATCGGCAACAAGTTTTATTGAATTTTTTTATTATTTGTGCTAACTTTTTTTAATATGAGTAAAAAACATGAACAATATTATAAAATAAGTATACAGTTAAGTCGATAAATATTATAAGTTATATAAAAATGATAAGTCGTTATTTGTAGAAAAAAAAGTACCATTGATAGTAAACAACCAATATTGTTATGTGGGAACGACTGCGTGTTGTCATCATACCAAAGAAGTGTGATTCCATTGATATCGAAACACCGATATAGTGTATGACATTATCGCACACACTGGGGTGCCAGAAGGGCGCTTAACACCCCCCCCCCCCCAAGTCTTAAATTGGCAACTACGGCTTTTTTGAGCTAAATATATTGTTTTGAGTTTAATTTTGCTATTATAAGAATGAATTTATTCCAGTTGGTATTGTTAATGCACTAATGCCACGGCCGTACATAATTTATCTATATTATATTATATATAATATACAGTATCGGGTTTGTGGTACCTAATGAATGAAGATTCGAAGCTAAAAACTTGGGCGGTCACCCATCCGGGAGCTAATGACTCTGAACACATTATAGATTGTGGCCTACCACCGAGCCGCACTAGGCCAAGTAGTATAGGACAGCAAGAGCAACACCCACGTTTTATTGAATATTGTTTGTTAAATTTCAACTTTTCGGAAATAATACATTTTAAAAATCATGATATTGTTTATTTACTCCCGTCAATAAATTGATTTTGCCAACTTAAAATTAGTGAATTGCGTGACATCCTGTCATGAGTCACTATATACACTTTATGTGAATTTCAACCAAATTTTAGGAGTTTAATTCACTTGACCAAAAATCAATAATATATCGACGACTATTTTTGGTCATATCTACGAAAAGCAACTAATGACGTGTTGTAATACCCCAAAACGATAGTGGTGCACTTTTCTAATGAAAATTACGTACAGAAAAATATGCAGTGGAATGAGAGCCATTGATTTTCTATCGGTTTTCGATTCAGATTATGAGTAGAGCGACGAATGTACGAATTATTGGTTTTACAATGATGTGATTTTTTCTTAAGATTGTATTGTTGGTGTTTACAACTGTCACCTTTTGCCTTTTGGACCAGTAAAAATCTTCAATCTTTAACTTCAACAGGATGGTTTTAGTAGAAAATTGGATCTAAACAGTGCATTGGGTATTACGAAAAATGATCTACTCTTCATAACAAACTAAAAATAATGACGGGAAAACGGGATTTTCATAACTTATGTAGCAGTTTCTAACAACATATTTTATTTTTTTTAAATGTTTTATAGATATATTTTCAATTTTCTTTTGCTTTTTTAGGTATTTTTAAACATTTAAAATTTTAAAAGGCATAAATAGTTACACGACATTTTTTGAAAAAATATTCTTTCAGAAATTAAAAATATTTAAAATACACAGTCACGGTTTTTTTAGAAGTGATGTTTGAAAACACGTTTATTATAATATTCAAACGTATATTATTTTTAAAATATCTTCTCTAATGATTTTTGTTATTCTGTTTGTAGAAACAATCCACTATTAGTATCAATCGTTTTCTACAAACGATAAATGACTGTATTATGCATAGTCAATTTATGTGTCACATAAGACATGCTAAACTATGTCTTATGTGACACACAAATTGACTACATATACGGACGAAAATGTTTGAAAAATGTAGACTAATATTATGATAATTATTCCTCTTATCAACGTCGGTATAATTGAAGTTAACATCAATAATATATGGCATAATATTCCAATAACTGTTATATAATAATCATTACAGTATGTTGTGATGATTTTGGATGAAATATGCTGAACATACCAAATCACTAATTAGTAATAGAAAAATACATTACTAAAAAAAAATCAATATCATAAATAGAAGTAGACACCGTTTCCACCCACAATCGTTTTTTGCAGTCAATGATTAATCACCGTTCTCAAGTTTAACACAATATCCATTACTTTGGTAACCTACTCCTCAAACACTAGAAACCTCGAAGCAGAGCGACTTCTCCGGTTTTTCTAAAGCTGCAGTTTACGGTTAAATTATTCTGGTGACCGTCGTCGGTGACATTCGTCACGCCATAATAACACACAAGTTTTCTATTCAAATGTCAATTGTTAAATAACAATACACGCCACGATTATATATTAATACATATTTTAATTTATCACTAATAATACAACTAGGTATTAAATAACCCTCGGAATAAATTCCTGAATAAATCCTTTGTGGTTCATTCCCTATACTAACGTTACAATGTACAAGGTTGTATGACGTTGTGGGAAATATTACCAGATGCATAATATTGTCTCGTTTTACGTTCAAAAAAAAAAAAATAGAAAAAAACAATTTTTAGTTATTTTTACTAGACTGATTATCTACATCGACATGCGTGCACGAAGTCTATACGCGACGTTCTACCTAAATGAAACGGAAACGCCCACACAGATCGATTTCCGTTTGAATATGAATTACTACATAATATTTGTATGATTATTCGTTACGCTGTTTGTTGGGATACGTTTATTATTATTATTATAAAACCGCAGTTGTTTGCTTACGAATACTATTTGCACAGTGTACACAGAGAGTACCTTTATTGGTGTTTTTTAAAAACTATTCTTATCGTGTTATTTCTATGGATAGACACTAAATTTCATTAAAATCGCATGATTTTTTGGTAATATTAAAACCGTACGATTTATGGTTGGTCGGTAGATATTTAACAATTATAGGTAGGCATAATTATTATGTACTATACATTTTTTTTTATCATACAGTTGTATTATTATTTATTAATAAATAAAGGATGAAAAAAAAATTAAGGGTGTCATAACGATCATAGAAAATATTGATACTTCACATTATAATCATAAATATTATTAACACAATAAATAATAATCGTATAGATTCAGTGATTCTCAACCTTTTTTTACGAAAACACCCTAATTTAGATCTATGAAAATGGTAACACACTTAAAATAATTAATGCATTTTTTGAAAAAGTAACACTTATAAAACAAAATTTAAATCGAGAATGAGACTATCTTCACAATCATTTTTCTTACGTGCGATTTTTTACCACTAATTATTCTATGCCATATCACGTCATAACGCAATAATGCATTAATTATACTTTGAACACACACAATATGAATTAAAATTTTTTTGTGTGACAAACATCTAATACGCGATACACCGTTTGAGAACCACTGGTATAGATATAAACTAAATAAACTTGAAACGGCAACTAGGAGAATCGTATAATAGTCTAATACTATAGAATATGGCCATACAAATATAATCAAAAGTTTTTTTTTGGATAAATTGTTCAGTTACTTTTAAAAAATAAGCTGGTGTGAATTTTAAAATGTAATATGTAAAATATCCACTTATGGTTTATGTAGATGACTAGATGAGGATAAGAAAAATGTGCAATATCATTTTTTTCACTATGAATTCTATCGCCTCGTACTATGAAACACATTTCTAAATCTCGTTGAGCAGTGAGCTATATTCGTTGAATAACGATTTTTTGAAAAATGATCAACTGCAAATTGTCCTAAGCAGACCTAATCTTTAATTATTACGTTTAAATTGTTGTAGTCCATGATGGCCATAAATGTATACTATATATAGTACAAGCAGTAATATCGTATTTATGTAGAAAACAATTTAATTACGATATAATTATAGAAAGATAGATGGATGCAAAAACTACAAATCAAGAACAATAAGAATATACGTTTATTACTATTATTAGATAGGTATATTAAATAATATAAATATAATATTAGTTTGACAAAAATATATTGTCAAAGAAGGAATATAATATATATTATTATTATATAGGTACATGTCGTTGACCTGGGCAGCACTATACGACGTGCATTTGCAACTAGAGTTCAGTGAAGTGTGTGGGATGTGAGGTGTGTTTTTTCTTTTTTTTTTTAAAGAGCTTTTACTTTGACATCATATGCGAACGTGAACATGTACATAACATATAACAATTCAAAATAGTATATATATATTATATTATAGGTATAAACTATATAGTATAATATATGTATTTGTGACATTGTTCGTAGTGACCTGTTTTCCTTCATTTCCATATTTCATTGTACGTACATGCGTAGGAGAACATAATATTTTCATAATTTTATTTATATTGACAACTGCTATAAATAGACGTTGTTCAATGTTCGATAAAAGTGTCTACCTGCCTACGTTTGGCAAAAATAGTTCTATTTCTAAAACTGCACAATATATCGGACACTCAAAGGTCATATTGTATTTCTATGATATCATTATATTTGATAACATCCCTATAACATAGTATGCCTCTTGTAGACTTCCTAGTTGAATTCTTTCTGTATTCATTTTAATATCTCATATTATAGTACATTGTTATTGTTTTTAAATTTGTGTAATAACTAACATTATAATTTATAATTGTTCTTATCGACAATTATGTTATTACATTTAGGTACACGGTGACTACAATAATTTGGAATATATAAATATTCAATAAAAGTTAATCGATTAGCCTTTGTTGTTATTTATTAGTTAATGTATAATAATATGTATCAATTTATTTGACTTTCTTACATCTTATAGTGGTTAGAATATGTTTATATTCACATAAAGTTCATGTACACCATAAAGTTTATGACTTTTTTTTACTATAGCATTATTATTTAAATTGTTGGTAGGTACTCTTTATTTCGCTTTTAACTTTTTCTTTATAAAACTAACAAAAAGCTTATTTATCTTTATTAGAAGGTTTTTTTAACCGTTATTAATTAAATTAAATAGAAAAAATATGCATATTATATATTTTTAATTTACTCACAATTTCAAATTAAAATCGAACAAAATTAACCTAAACCTCATTACAATTCACATACAAGTTGCCTTTTAAAATTAAACTTTAAAGCGAATGATATATTATTCAATAGGGTATCCATTATAGTAAGTACATGTTATATGTATGAAATTTAAGTAGATAAATACAATTATGATATTAATTATTTGTCCAACTTTGGTCAACCAATTGTCATGATGTAAATATTATATTATGATACTTGAAAAATCATGTGTTAGGTAAATATATTAGCATAAAAATAACATTAAACTAGGTACTTATACTTATTTTTTTTTTTTTTGGCAAAACTTATTTTGGTATAAAAATATGTTAGTGTTTTCTTATATTTTCTTCAATAATAATAATTTTTAATTAGCAGATGTAAACCTTAAAGTATTTTTTTTTACTCATAAAAATAATACTCGGTTTGACATTTCAATATTATAAATTATGAGTATTTTATCATAAAGGCATGAAACCGTAATATAATGTAAGTAATAATATGTAGGATTTAGTTTCTACTTAAATATTATCTGCGGTATTGCGGAAAGAATTTGAATTTGTCAATAAAAAACCGGGTGCTCCGTTCGCACCCATCCCGGACCTAGTGACACCGGCCGATGCTTGCACTCAGAAGACGTTTCGACGTTTCGTAACTGAATTTAACACACCAAGACACCAATTTATTTTGTGTATCGATAATATAAGTACAATAATTATTGTGCAATAAACATAATGATACCTTTAAAAAAATGTATATGATGAATATTTATGATTTATCATAAAAAATAGAATTAATATAATTTCAAAAATTTATATAGGTAGGTATTATTGATATTTTTATTTTTACATTTGGCTATATTTATTCCACAGTAATTTAAGTCAGGTTATCACCATATCTGGTTTTAAATTACTAGTAGTAGCCGGCATTTAATGGCATTCCAATCAAAATAAATCGATACCATAAAATAATTTCAAAAGTAACAGCGTTTTCGCATATAGCATATTATTATATTATGATAGTTATATTAGGTACCTAATATAACTGTTTAATAAAATACTGTGATATAAATTGTAGCGTTATTATTCTTAACGTTTTATGAACCACTTAACACAGCAAGTTTCGAATTATCAAGCTAATATTTGTAATAAACATTAGATTTGGTTTACCGCTGAAAAAACTGCAGACAACAAATGAAACTCTTGTAAAAATATACACATCGATTATTACCCAATTCTGGCGATTGTGCAACTTTCGCCTATTTTTGAGTAATAAGGTACTTTAACCGTTGTCCATTTTGTTAATCATTCATCCTGCAGCCTAACCTCAATCGCAGGTGATCATCATGGAAAAGACCTTGAGTGGACTTAGATACGGCCACCCCTAAAATGCGTGATGATTATTAACCATGAGTAGGTATTATTAAATTTGTATTGATATTTTTATCTTAAATACACATCAAATATAGAAAATAAAATTTCGCATTTGAATAACTCGAATGTAACGTACTTTTTATATTTACATTGACTATAAGTAGGTACTACTTGTATTTATAATCAATGGTATTTGTATACCACTGTTCTGTAGATATTACTATACTCCGATACGGGTACGAAATTCTAACACTTCCCACACACATGTATGTTAAGTATCACAATCCGTTTAATCCGTGTAAATATCAATATGCAATGATGATAATATTATCGTCCTAACGCGGTGAATATTTCTGAATATAACATTATAGATCCCACTGATAGTTCTATTATAATATTATTATGTTATAGCTATTATATAACACTCTCGTCCGCACTATGATTACGTTTAAAAAAAAAAAAAAAAGCGCTGGACCCTTTGAAATACATTAGGTGCCTATTTATATTATATAGGTTGATTCAAATGGAATACCACTGGAACTTCAAAAGTTCATATCGCGGCAACCGCGAACGTTATACTGTAGATCGCTACTCTAGTTGTTATTGTGATTGGGAAGTTATATGCACCTAATGTCGGTGTAGCTGCTAGTAATGAAAATATAATACGGTCTTTGTCGAACTACTACCCCATCACGACTTTTTGGCATAATCCACTGGCGGTTTCTCGAGCGTATCTGATCAACGAACAATTTTTTTTAATCAAAAAAGGAATCCGACGGGTCGGAAAAATTTTGAAAATTTAAAGAAATGGGTCTTACCGTTAAAAGTCTGGGAACCTAACCTGTGACCCGACCTGATATCGCTATATTATGTCCGCAGGTAAACATTTCGTGGAGCTGGAAGCCAAGCTCGTCATCGCCATGCTGATGTCCCGGTACGAAGTGCACGTGGACAGCGCCAAGTCAGGCACTCCACCGGACCCGTTGGACCCGAAGTCGTTCGAGGGCGTCCGAATGACGGTGGCCAATCGGAGCAGCGTCCGAGAGTCGACGATGTACGCATCTCTACGGAAGTTTCATATGAGCAACGACGTGAACGCTGGTGACCGGAAATTCCTTTTTTTCTGAACGAGTCGTCGAGCCGGGACGAGAGAGGAGCGGTTCGATGTAATATTAGTATTATTATTAAGTGCGTGTGAAGTGCACTACTATTATATAGTTTTAATATTGTATAACAATAACATAACCGACCATAGACTTTTTTTTATAATTTTATTTTATAAGCTATTACGCCTACATACCGTGCAATATATATTTTTAGAGTACAAAATATAGTTGTCATGAAATAAATAGGTTCTTATAATACGATGTCAATTTTTTTTTTTATACATAACTTAACCAATTCCTAAAATTTAAATAAAAAAAGAAGGGCTTTATAGAAAGGGTTGGAAAAGGAATCAGATTTTGAAGAAATACATTATTGAAGAACAAAAAAGTGGTGAGCATGCTTGTCTAATCACTTCTTATATATAAACAATTATTTATTAGAAATGGTTTTGAATGAGATAGAGGTTTTTAGGAGTTGAAACATCTCATAAAATACAGTCGAGTCACTGATAATATGACAGCTTTGTAATGTTCACTACAAAAATAAGACAGTTGTGACACGTGTAGTATGATTGAATAAAGCTTACATTTGGATTTAGGGGTCTTTTTTAGCTCAGAAGCAGGTGCTGTCCACACTCAGCGTACTATACGGATATCATTGTAGTATTGACGTGTAACAGTGATATCGTGGTGGACCATTCTTTTGTAGGGTTTTCAGATTTCGATCAGATGACATATTATATCGATAAATTAATTAACTATTACCAACGTATTTTTCACCAGCTGGTTTTCCTGAAAGTTTGTTAAGATGAATGTTTTTAATAATATTCCAAACTCGAGCGGCAGATATAAATGATAATATGAAAGTGCTCAATTCGTACATTGAATAAATAATATTATGTGGTCAATGAAGAATGACAACAGACAATGCACGAGTATATAATATAGTTGATTTAAGCCCACCGCGAAGGAGTAACGGTGAATCGGTGTAGTTAAAATATTATTTGAAGATTGTTTTTTTTTAATGATTCAGTTTTTGACAAGGATAATCATAATATGAATATTTTATGATGAGATAAATCCATTAACTGATAACTCACTAAACTATCTTGTTAAGTTTTATTTTCATGCGAGTAACAAGTTAATAATATAATGCGTTTAGTATGCAATAATAGTTTCGTCTTCAATATTGTTAAAAGAAATAATACTAAAAATAAAATATGTACAACATAGCACACGTTTTGAATAGCGAAAATTATAATTAGACAATTAATATCAAAAGCATGCTGAGGTCATTGCAAAGATCGTAGGGAATACAGTATTAAAATAATGAAACTGTAAAAGGGTTGTCTTCTTCGCGGAAAAGTCTTGATAACCGTAAGGATACGAATCAAACAGAAGTTATCTACGACTAAGTTATGTTACTAGACCAGAAGTAACCACTACCACCATGACCACAAATCTTAAGGATATGATAATATTAAAGGGAGACCGTCACAAGAGCCCGGTCAAGTGATGTAAATTTTCATGAACATTTTCAAAACGTTGAAAATTTCATAATTAATGGCTGCCAAGTATAAGTTTATAACATCAAGTTATTTATAACCACAAGTCATTAGTGATAATAAAAAAATATAAATAGTAATAATCCATAGATATGTAAATCCATGATCATAATCTATGATTATAAGATAGTTTTATCACAGAACAACGTTATTCTGTGGTTTTCTTACTCATGTCTATTATCTAGTAGTCAGTGTAAAAAACTGTTGTACAATTTTTACAAAATAAATTATTTTTAAAATTGAACATAGAAATCAAAATTTGAAAATTCAGTGAAAAAAAAAAGTGAACATTACCACTACACATTGGACAATACTGTATTAAACGGGCATGGTAGTTAGTAACAATATTATTGTGGACGAAAGCTTACAACTTGGTACATTTTATTCCAAATAATCAGCTAATGAAAAAACTGGGTACCTGGAATTTCACGGGCGAGAGAGAGATAAATTGTGAAGAAATTATAATAACTTGTTTTACATTTTAAATTTTAGATAATTAAAAAAATTATATTTTAAAGTAAGTATTTTATCCAACTGTTCGTATATTATTATTATGTATATTATTATTATGTATATTATGAAGAAATAAAAAAAATTAGCATTAATATTAATAATACATTTTTGTAAGCCATTTATTTTTACATAAAATTGTATTTTATTAATACTAAGCGAATTAAAATGTAAAATATAAAATGCTTTAGTTATTCATATACCTACGGTGTTATTTGTATATACATCATACATTTGTTATCATTTGTACCCTGTTAAATGTAGTAGTAATCTTACAATATAACCAATGATATCTGATAAACAAATGTTAAGAATTGCAAAGGTTTACACCTAAAATCAGATGATTTAATTTCGAGAAAACTTAAAAAGTATTTACATTATTGTATTATTAACCTGATGGCATTTAGTTGAAAACATAATATTATTATTATTATTATTGGTGGTGGTGGTGGTGGTGGTGGTATAGTATTAATATTATTTCGCAAAACAATAGACATTATAGTCCCCGGTATAATATGACATTGTCGCTTACCTATTCACAAGCAATTCCATTAATCTCACCTCGTCCATTATTATTACCTTTGTAATATTATTAGATACTAATCAGTGGCACGGTCGTCGGTCTTAGATCTTCTAACACCTCGTGACGTCTCGTAAACTATTATTATTATTATTATTATTTTGTTTATCTTGAAATAGTATAGAGGTACGTTTTATCATAGTACCTATCATCCATTCCTCCGGGCTGATCCACGGCGGTAATCGTTCAATCGCTCTGGACTCGCAAAACAAACAGTGTGTACATTTTTTTTTTTAAATCCAAAAAAATTGACACTATAGTCGTGCTGGATACTCGGGAATTCAATTATAAAAATAAAAAATGACTGCAGTGGTACACCATTAGAATACGAGTATAATAGGTAAAGGTAGGTGGCTATATAGTTACGTAAGTACACGGTAAAAGTGCAATACGTGTGGCCTGCAGCCTGCTGTCAAACGTACATATGCGTATTATAATATTTGCCGATAATTAGTCATAATTTTATCACCATTAGCCATATATCTGTTTTTTTTTTTTTTTTTAATGATAACATGAGGTACATATTATAATATTATACACTTTTTTTCTTTTATCTTCACGTCTATAATATTGTGTTTACTGTTTACCTATATCAAAAAAAATTGCGCACGCGATACAGTCGAAAATATTATAACATTATATTATATGTATATACATTAACTTCCCATTTTTTCGATTGCGCAGTCGAGATAATGAGGTCTGTTCACACGAATACGTCTGGCCCGTAACAGCGTACACCCATCCTTGTCGTATTATTACAATGATAATTATAAATATAAATGTATAGCTTTAGTATAATATTATAATAATAATACGATACTTATACTGGTACGATATTTTTATATATATATTTTTTTTAACTATATATCATTATTTCTTATATAATTATGTATAGTGTCTATGAGTTTTAACTACTCGTGTAATTATATCAATATACAGAACATAATATCATATTAGTATGTGAAAGGTTATAACGATTTACATAATATAAGTCCGAGGAATAATACAACGGAAGCTTATTTTTACATTAAATACGCTCTAAACCAATTATTATAGTATAATGCATGGAAGTTATTATTATTATTGATTACGGTATGACGTGTATATTATTATAGTATTGTTCATCGTAAAATATTTTTAGTAAAAAAAAAAAGTTATTCTGAATCCTGGTATTCAAATTGAGTTCGTGAAGAATTCGAAAAAAAAACACATTTTGACAGTAATTGTTTAAAAAAAATAGTTGTCCGTTGTTTTTATCGTAATCATAAGTTCACTGATTGGATTAGTTATAAAACGATATCTATGTAGAAGGAGAGTAAAGGTTTTAAAAGTATTTTCTAAATATTTAATTCGATCACCGATATACCTACGACATATCCGTCGTTGGTCCGAATTAGAAATTAAAAATATCTCATACCTAACCATATTATGAAATTTTATTGAAATTCATTTGTATCAGTGTATGAGAGAATTTTCAATTTTGAAATTAGCACAATATAATATTTGTCATAGTATATTATTACATTTTAACATATTTAAACATTAAACGCACGTGTCATAAACACTATATGTGCATAATAACCACCATACAAGTAGGTAGGCCATACTAAATTAATTATTATATGTTATACACATATGATAAAGTCCATTATATAAGCGGTCCTCCAATACTTACTATCGTATTTTTAGCCAAAAACTACTCGTTCTAATTCTAAATTCCAACAGTTCAACGGCGTACCTAATTTTCTCACTGAAATAAAACAGTAACTGTCCATATAACATAATATTGTACTTACGAGGGAAAGGCCCTTATTTTTTTTTCGTTCCTTTGAAAAATATTGTCATAAATACTATTTAAAAATGTCAAGCTTACATAATACATATTATGTAATTGTTTTTTTTTTTTATTATTATTATTAAAAAACGAATAGTTAAAATCTTTACAAAAAAAAAAACCTTGTGTGTCTCAAGCGACCCTTAGAAGATTTGAAAACATATATATATCAGCTTAGAAATATAGTTTTATCATAATGCATACATATTATATATTGAAAGTTACGAACAAATTTCATTGAAAACAACATCGAATTAGACTTTTAGTGGCAAAATAGTTTTAGGCGTATTTCGAAAATGTTGGCAAAAAATCCGAAAGTCCGAAAATATTACCTGCACAGAAAATTCCCTCGGCACGAATTCCGATCTCGACCTACCTCATCCAAGGTTGACGCCCAGTGTGACATCCGAATTGGACGGAAAAAGAATTTTCGGTGTTTTTTTGCGATCTTAATGAAGCCACGCCCCCTGTTGCCAAGTCGGCCTATCGCTGCGTCGCACCGAGTCGCCACCAATCAGCACGTCAGCAGCGC